GGCATGATAGGAAGGGGAATAGATACTGTCAGAACATCTAGTTCCGATTACCTTATATATTCACATTCACCTTTCATCACCTTGTCCAAAATGATTGTATATTTTTTCTAAAAGGGATGGTGAATCTCTTCCCTTGCTCACATGTGAAGGAATATGTGGGAATAGATAGAGGAGGCATTGTGCATCTGATATAACATCTGATACGATTTTCTTTGAAGTGTGTGTTAAGGCCTTACTTTTCACTGAGGTGGTATGCCTATGACCACTAGACCACTTATGTGTGTAGGAGCACAATAGACAGGATGACAATTAACAACAGTGAACTGATTTCCACATCCTATGTTACATGACATATTATATATTTTTTGTTTTAATAATAATGATATCAATAGCATTAATTTATGCAAATGAAGTCACCATTTCTTATTGGATAAGTAAGCATAGTAATGACAACATTGTATAAATGATGATATTACTGATAAAGAAATCTTTGCAATTTATTCCATGGGCAGAAATTAGTATGTTTAAATTCTAACAGGCAATCTGTAAATGTAGTTATGGCGAATTGTATATTGTTCCTCGATTGTATAGTGGTGAGTATCTCCACCGGTCACGTGGAAAGCCCGGGTTCGATTCCCGGTCGAGGAGCCAGCGTCGGTAGCATAGTGGTTAGGACGCTCGCCGACCATGCACATGCTCCGGGGTTCGATCCCCGGCTGAGACACTCCTTTACCTCACTAAACCAGTCATAAAACTGGTAAAGAGGAAAGGTTGGGCATGAGGCTAGCAACCCCATCCCGTTAAATTAAAAACACTGCTACAAGAACCTTCAAGTCACTAACTTGAGGCCCTATATTCCACTGGGAACGAGAAGGAATTAAAAAGAATTTAAAGCATGGTAAATCAGCAGTAGAATCCAGGATGTGTATTTCGTCCCATCCGGGACTCGTCGTCTGGATGAACCTGCATTCTCCAGTGAGAGGTGGCGATCTCACTGACACTCAAACACAGTGCCCATCGTCTCAAACTCCAAAGCGTTGTCCATTAGACTAAATGGGTCACTAGAGCCACTATCTGTACAAGAGGCATCAGTTATGGCGTAGTTAAATTCGAGACACACAACAGGCGTAAACACATTAATGACCGTAGAACGCCAAGTCAGTCAGGAAAAGTCACGTGAACCAGGTAAATGACACTATAGTCATGAAAGAAATATGCTGAATGAAGTGAAGTGATATTAAACAGAATATATGGTTGGTTTTTAGGTTAAGTTACAGGAGGATCAAGTTTAAGTTTGAGCTAGGGATAGGTTAAAGTTACGTTAACCCAATCAGAGAGAAAGAGATATATAAGGACTAGTTAAGGATAGATTACGGTTAGGTTAAGGGAACATTAGGGCTACAGGTGAGTTAGGAAGCCAAATTTACCTTTTAGAGCTATTGCTCTTCCCAAGTTCATTAGTGCGTTCGCATCTCTTAGATATCTAAAGGTGAATTTTGTCATAACTATTTTAAAGTTTCGTCTTCAGGATACTGTTCGTTGGTAACAGATGTTGCCTACAAAATCATTGAAAAACAAGAACCACCGAACAACTGTATGATACTTTCCAACCAACCACATCTGTGACCATCTGATGGATCCAGTAAATGGTTGTCTAGTCCTGAGGTAGACACGTCATTTACTACATTTTCAAAACCTATTCTTAAAGAAAATCAATACTATAAAGTAATGACTTGACTTCAAGCAGAATAATTACCACAGGCTGATGAAACAATAAAACAGTGAAACTGTGTGTGATGAAAATGTTTTTTTGTTTCCACTGAACTTACTCAACTCTTTTAATAAATAAATAAGTTTAGTAAGAAAAATCTAAAGGTTACTTGATTGATTTATTTCGAATGTGAGGAAGAAAGAATAACATATTCTGTTCGCACGAATGAGTTTTCGAAACATATGACACGTAGATTTATTTTGGCAATTCAGTTAAGTCATGTGTGTGTGTGTGTGAGTACAGTATTATTAATAGTACTATTTCTTTACTATTCGCTTTTTTTGCTTTTCGAGTGGAATATAGGACTTCATAGGCACATCTCCATTGCAACTGAATCTCTACAGTCAGTTCCAACTGGCTTATTGACTGCCCACAGGCATTCATTTTCCCTGCACATGATCTTGTCTATGTCACTGTCATACGCCGCTTTCCGTTTGGGTCCCACTTGGGAGCTTGCCTGGAATGATATGTCATTTGAAGGTTGTCCCAGCATATATCGAATTATTATCCATAGCCTGTTGCATATATTTATTGGGCGATCGATTCTTGACTAGTTCTCTAGCGTGTGCATCGGTTGCACAGTGGTTAGCACGCTCGCCAGCGATGCATATGGTCCTGGGTTCGATTCCCGGCCGACGCACTCCTTTACCTCTCTATGCAGAAATAATGCTGGTAAAGAGGAAAGGTTGGGCATGAGGCTAGCAACCCCATCCTGTAAAAATAAGCACTGCTACAGAAACTTCAAGCCACTAGCTTGAAGCCCTATGTTCCACTAGGAACGTGAAGGAAAAAAATCTCTAGCGTAGTTCCTTATCCTTTATTGTTACTGGCTGGTCGTTTAACCTACAAAATCCAGAGAAGGCAGCTGTTGAAAATGATTTGTCGATGTGCTAAGTCTCTGAACCACAAAGAAACAATCACTGACTTGACATTAGTGTTGGAAATCTGGATCTCGTTCTTTGCAGTATATGATATAGATCTCCAGATTTATTTCAGAGTAGTCAACAACAATTTCACCTTACCGATCTTGTTGGTGTCTAATACAAATGTGGCAAAACCTCCTTCGTAGATGAACTTAAATTTACTCGCTTTATAAAATCGATGATTCGAATGGATGTGAAGGATAAGCTTCCAGTGCTGACCTCGTCAATGAGTACTTATAGATCTACCTTTTACTGTGGAAGTAGCTATGTCTGCCGTCCTCAAAGTTTGCCATCTAAATGTAGTATTAAACATTTACCATTTCTTTCTGGAACACCTGGTCGGTTGTGGACACCAAGTGAACTCAAAAACCAACGTTACAGTTATCCACATACCATGTAGAAATCTTACCAAAGAAGCAGGAACAAATTTCTCTGAACTGCTTAATTCTATGGTTTTCTCCATGATAAATTCTGAAATTTGCATACTGAAGAAGTTTGTTCTGTCATTGAATCTGCAATGGATCTAATCCGTCTCACCATTTGACAGATAATCTTGTCTTTGACTTTTTTGGAATTTGAATGTTTCCTCGTCCCTGCCTCCCGCAACGTATTACACTTCTACTCCTCATGAAATTAAGCTTAATTTGACCCTTCTTCAATGTTAGCTGAGCTCTGTTTAGTCTTTTCAGTTGTGTTACATCGCTAAATTTAGTCATTTAATTTAATTTTTACTTTTTCACTGATACATATTTTCTTGATAAAGCAGTCTAGAGCTTCCTGATGATACATCTTTGGTCTCATTCTTTCTGTTGCTATGAGAATGTATTATTATGTATATGCGATGGTATGACTTGAGAATGATATCCCTGAAAGGAATGACTCTTCCCTGAACACATTTTATGAGTCATAATCAGTTACTGAAAATAAAAAGAGATAAAAAGGATGTCAATAGTTAGCGGTTTGTACCCTCTCAGAGATAATAATCTCTGTGCACTCCACTACTTCGATGAAGATCAGCTATCTCAACTCAACCACAATATTTTATTAAATTTGAGACTTTCCCATCGATTGACTGGACCGAAGTGCTCGGTCTCAGGTCGACATGTCGGCTTCTTGTACAGACAAGAGATGGCTCTCGTGGCCCAATTGGTCTAGTGGATAACGAACACTTTTGCGTTTGAAACTATGGGTACTGGGTTCCAGCCTCGGTAGGAACATCATCACTCACTGAGAAATTCAGGTACATCCAGCTGACTAGTCCCAAATAGGACGAAATGCGCATCCTGGATTCCACTGCTAGCCACCATCCACCAATTAAATATCAACCACAATATTTTACAATTTATAACAACTATTTCAGGTATCATTGGCCCAGGTCAGTGTATTCTGTGTTGTTAGCTGGTTGTTTTATGAATCAGAAGCCTTCATTGTTATTTAAGGTAAAATCTTTGAAATTAAGTGAGCTTTAAGCGTTCTTCATTAAAGGAATAACTGTTTTTTTCCTTGTGACACTGACTAGGAATGGTTATCTTCGGGGATGTCCTCATCCATCCTCCCATTTGAATTTTTATTAGTCGTCTCGCTAGCCTAGTGGTCGACCTTTTGTCTATTTGATTTATATCTTAACTAATCATAAATCTGATCTATATAAAAATGCAGACTTTCATCCAAAGCTGTCTTCTTCAGCTGGATACTGAAAATCAGATAGTTGGCCAGAAAGGATTAGCAACAAGGATCTCTGAAGTACAACGAACCAACCAACAATCAATTGCCGAACAAGATACGTAGAAGGAAATGGAGATGTATTGGACACACGCTGGGTGAAATTACACATTAGACAGATCCTCAAGGGGAACCTGAATAGGATGCGACGATTTGGGCATCAAAAGGAGATATGAAGGAAATGAAGGCCTATAGGCACTCGCGGATCCAGCTAGAAAAGACTGCAGAGAACAGAGTGAAATGCAGGTATGTCGCTGAATGCACATGTTTAACTCGGAACCCAAGATTAATGATAATAATAAATAATAATAATCTACTTCATTCCAAAAACAGTACTTATAATACAGAATGGAATTCTCAGCATTTATCATAATATTGCATCTGATTTACTTAAAATATAGATAAAAAAATTGAAAATTAAAACAAAAGTAACCTGAGGAATTTGTCCACGTTTGAAGCACGAACTGAGAATACAACATATAATAATAATAATAACAGTTTGTTTCAAACAGTATTGTCGATTCAATTTGGAAATTTTAGCATATTACACATTACTGAATCTAATGTTCTGTTGATATAGTTTAGTGAGGGGAAATACAAGATTAACAGTGGTAACATAGCTTAAACGATGTTCACACTTATGAAAAATAAATAAATAAAAACAAAAAATTGAGAGGATTATAAATTTAAGAAATACGATAACAATCAAGTTTGGTACTGTAAGGGTGGAAGAAATGGTTTATTTAGTAGTGCGAAGAAGGTTAGTTAGTTCATGCCTGACACCATTTTCATCAGACAGAGTACGTGCCATGAAGTATGGTATAGTGAAATTTTTTATACTTAGACGTACGTGCGTAAATTCTTCTGAAAAGACTTCTTGTTTTACCTGAGGAAACACAAGCTTGGAGTTGCGGGTAGAGTGGGTGCTCACAGTCTGACAAAATTTCTTTAGAAAATTCGTTGCATGATACCAAGTGCCTATCAGTGACAATGTCAACGACATGGCCCAATGGGGTACCGCTTGTCCTATTGGCAGTCTTCAGAGTTCTACGAAGTATGACATAGTTGTTTTTAAGCAATCCAGGAAAGAATAGGGGTGAACAGTAAGGAAGAATAAGTAAAATACACGAGTTGACAAACTGTAAGAGGAGGGGTTGGGTTATGCCTGAGTGTCTTCACCTCTTCTTAATGTAAAAAGTCAGACGAAATATTCTTTTAGGAATCGCTAAGACATGAGAAGACCAGGATAGGTCAGAAGAAAGAATTAATCCAAGATACTTAACTTCAGACTTGATTTCTATATCAGTATCATCAATTTTGCAAGGGTCATAGGAACCAACAGCTTCATTTAACTTTCTTTTACATCGGAAGCTGGGAGTTAACTGACATTAGTTAGATCATCGGCATACTTAACAAAGTTCACTTCGTTATCAGAGTGAGGCAAGTCATACAAGAAGAAAGAAAACAGAAAAGGAGAAAGGACAGCACCTTGAGGGACACCAGCTTCAGTTATCAAAGAAGTGGACAACTTCCCTTGACATACAGTGTACTGCTTTCTTCCTGAGAAATAAGCATGTAGCCATTTGATAACCAACTATCAGTTTGAGTTTCAGCAAGCTTGTTAAACAAAATGTCCCTAGGTACTGACTGAGTCGAAAGCAGATTTGTAATCTAGAATATCGTTTGGGTGCAAATTCGCCCAACTATCAAGCTTTTAGATGTGGATTAATTCCCTGGCATTTTTAATATTTCCTCTGTTTAAAATTTCTATATTTCCCAGCTTATTCAATACCCGTAATTGTCCATCCAGCCTAGACAACAGTAAATCTTATAATTCGTTTACTGTTCAGAGGAAACATTTATGCTTTAATCAAACAAGTGTAATAATTTAGCATTATTTGCATTTGATATTTGTTTTCAGTTGCTGCCGGTTTTAAGCAGTATCAACATAATTTATTTTCAATTTAGATAATTGTTATGATATGTTTTGAGATATCGCATGTTGTATTTATCCTGTCAAATTTTGTTACTATGTTCTTCTTAGTTATGTCAGTTTAAAAAGTGTCCGTTTGTTCATTTGTGTATTTATTTCATAGAATCTGCCTTTTTATTTATCATGCGCGAAGAGTAATTATTTACGAAATAAAAATTTCTCATCTACTGTTCTATTCACATTGACTGAGTCTAGTGAATCAATATATTAGAAGGAAAGGAATTTTTCAAAACTATTTTAACAATCGCATTAAAATGTCGCCTGTCAGATTCTATTTAATCAATGAACCTATTGCATAATCATTTAATGTGAAATGAAATTATCTACCAAATAGATATTTGTACAAAGGCTCAGAAGTTCAAGTTTGACAAACTTTGAAGAAGCATATATATAAGAGAAGGAGAGAAATGCGATGAAACTTCAAAGGAACAAAAATGTATTAGAGTTAGAATAGTTAGATAAAGATTAGTGAAGATTTTCAGAAAATATCTCCGCTATAGTGAACAATTTTGTGTCATGATTTTCGAAAATCTCCAGCCACTGATTTTAAGCATTATGGGAATCATAGTTAGACAGCTTACACCTACCCTTATGATTATTTATTTTATTTTTATTACAGCTTGAAACCACACTGTATTTTTGGTACAAGTATGAATTTTCACCCCGTGATATCGGTAGCCCTAATTTTGCAGGCCGACCATAGATATCAGGTGTACGTCGGCAAGGGATTGAACTTCGGACCATGTGCATAGTCGGCGAGAGTCCTAACCGGTGTGCCACTGACGCACACTCAAAAGCGTAATGAGTTGATACTTTGTCTTATTTGATCATTTGTAAATCTACTCTCCCTAGTCCTATATCAACCAACCAACCAAAATTGCTTTTTGAGGAAATAAATAAACAAGCTCTGCTTGTAATCAGGCCTTGGTTTTGAATCCCGGTGGGTGTGCGCTTATGAAGAGTCCCAAACTAGGACGAAACTACTGCCTAGTACCAACAGGGTTTCCAGTGGTTCTCTAACCGATGTCAGCTCATGGTGAAATCCTTTAACAAATTATAAAGTTGGTTAAAACATTCAAATAGGTATTAGTATTGTAATCAGGTTGTTTAGGAGAGATTTTCTAAATAATTATTCCATTACACTACCATTATTCTCCCACTAGAAAGTGACAATCAAAGATTTGCTGCAATAAATGTCCTCTGTGTAGTCTCTGAAACGAAATTTCCTTCGATGAATCACCATTAATCTGTACTTTAACAAAAACTTGTTTCATATGTACTGTCGTCATTTCCGGTTATCTAAGTAATTTGTACTTATATTCCTAAATGGGTAGTTTCATAAAGAATCATAGGAATACATTAGCTAGAAAACAGGAAATGGTGATGGTATATAAGAATGTATTCTTTCTGAAATTAATTCTGAATACAGAGTGTTAGGTTGGTTAATCTTATCACCATAGCTTCAGTTATATACAAAAGACGTAGACTGTGTATGATAGTACCTTAATTATTCGGTAAATAGCACCAAAAGTTATACTAGTGCCTAAGGGATGCTGTATGCCTGCTAAATACGTAGTCTAGAGCTGTTTAACAATTCAGTTTGTAAAGTATACTGGAGTGAAGCGTGAATAGACCTAAGTGAACACAATGTTATTCCCCGACTTCCTTTATTGTAATCCCTATTACAGCATTATAAATTGCAAGTATTGACCACGAACTGACTTTAGTAACGGAACCATTGGAAACAAGGAAGTAATGGACGGCTGTTTCGATCTTGTATGGGACTCTTCGTCAGTATGCACCCATGAGCCTATTACGGATCTAGACCAGGACTTTCAGCTTACAGTGTTAGCTCCTTGATACAATGTCCAACTCACGGTACATAGCGCGAATGCTAGCCAATGTTACCGCCAAGTATTTATCTTCGCACCCAACTGTAGTCAGTCACTAGGAAGCGTTAGATCAATTTTCAAGTTTTCGTTTTCAAACCTGAGTGGCCATTGGACTCGATCCCAGTGGTTGGTGAGCTCACCTTGAAACTTGAAGGTTTTGGATTCGATTTCTGTTGAGATCATAGAGGAGTACTATTGAACAGTACTAAACATGAACGAAAACTGTTGTCCAGCAGTCCTTGGTTTTCACGGGTTCTCCTAATGAAATCAGTTAGCAATCAAACTGGAAATCTTCCGCACTCCCTGCTAACCAACACTTAAATATTTCAAATTACTACACGAATTAATAAGTCATCTGGTAACAAGTGACGTATAACCAAACTATGATTACCCAGTCCTTATTTATTCTTATAATGCCAATTATTTCAAGAGAGGATTGTCTGTCTGTCTGTTTCCGACATAGAACTTTGCACATATGTTCAAGTCGCCACACTCCATGTAGCACACAAAGGAAGAGAAGAAAGTAGAAGAAATGCATAACAGAGACAGTAAACTGAGGTGTGAGACAAAGGAATAGTAATAACGAAGAACAAAACAGTTTCATTGGAAATCATAAGTCACAAGGAGTGGATGCATCTGCGCTAGCCATTGAGAACGATGAGATTGAGCCATGTCATCAATTGTTTTCAACCATTGGTTTTTGCCGTCCCGACGACCCCAACCAGGAAGCCAGTTTACACCTTCCTACGTGGCTTAGACTAACTGTTGTAGATTTGATTGACTGGTTCCATGTTTTTGTTTGACCTCCGCTAGCTTTTTTTCAACCTGACTCTGTGTCAGCTAACATTGCCCGTCTAGGAAGGCGATGGCTAGTTATGCATGTGTGTAACACATGTCCTAATCATCTCAGTCGATGTAATTTCACAGCGTCGTCGATTGATTTCCCCTCCAACTCACCTAGCGCTCAACCGATGCCTAACCTCAGTGCTGCTTACCTTATTATACCACTTCACACGGGAGATAGAACGCAGGCATCTATTATCAAATACAGCTAGATGGCGTTTTCTTGTCTTCCACTCTCAATGGCCTGGTTTCACAGCTACCCATAAAGGAGGACAGAGCGGACTGATCAGCAGTACACCCGCCATTTGGTCGATAGCCAGTCGGATACGACGTCTACGCCAGAGATGGCGTGAAATGGCATATGCAAGACGAGCCCCCTGTATCCGTGCGGAGATTTCGTCAGAGGTCAACCCGTTGGCACTGGCTGATGGTACTTCCCAAATAAGTGAAGTGGTCAACGTGCTCTACCACTTTACTTCCTATTTACAATCCAGGAGTCGGTGTAGCCCAGTCCTGTAAAATCATCTTACATTTGGCGGGAACGAATCGCATGTCAAACATTAGTAGATTGCAGCTCAAAGCGTTCAGAAGGCTCTGCATTTTGTTAGCGTCCTCGCTTAGAAGGACTATATAATCTGCATATTCTAAGTCAACGAGATTATTCCCTGGTGGTAACAAGTCAATACCTGAGTCTCTGAAGTGAGCTAGGGTTAAGTTCATTAGTACGGTATCTATGATGAAGTTGAATAGAAATGAGGATAAATCTGATAATTGGGATAATTAAATCTGATCATATTTAGCAAAAAATGAATTACAAATTAAAGAAAAGTGTGATTTGACATACGAAGACGTATTTTGTTGACAGTAAATAAAAGTAAATATGTATATATTGGAGAATTCAGTTGTCTTGACCATTTCTTTGGTGTTGATTTTTGTTGTTTGCATTTATCTTTCAATGAATCAAATAATAGATTATTTAAAAAGAAAGATGAAATGAAAGTACCGATCATTAGTAAACTAAAACAAAATAAATTGTTCAAGGTTGAAGGATTTTTCTCTCAACCAAATGAAATATTCACTATAATCTCAGTTTTTTTTAGAGTTAAAATCCTTGGTAAAATCATGAATAATAGTTGAATAGAAAGGATCACAGACATTTTAGATTTACTCGTCAGATATAAAATAGGAGATTTACATATTTAGATGAAGGAAAATATGCTAAAATTTGTATAAAATTAGATTAGGGTTTGATAAGTAAATAAGTAGTAAGTAGATATTGCACTTCATTTTTGGATTTAAATCTTTTGTTTAAATAATTGTTCATTATCAAAATAAATTGTAATCGTTAAAAAATTCTTCAAAAATCATCACATATTGCTAAAAAAAAGAAATCAGGCATTGGATGTTGAATGTAGCGCAGGTTGAAAATGTATTCTGTACAAAATTTTCAAAATAAAAGTCTGACACAACTCAGGGAAGAAGCTTTGTCGTCACTTCTGTCACTTGTGTTGAGTGTCTTATCTTTATCTAACTGTGCCAGGCAGTTCATAGAATTCCGATTCACCCTGATACAGTGTTTTCGCCAAATACTTGAAAGTTCTGGTCTTCCACACATTTGCAAATAACCCGGAGGTTCGCATAGTTCAGGATAATCTCTGAAAAATGCTGCATATCCACCACGTAATATATATACCTGTGGATATCTTAAAGCAGGATAGGAAGAGAAATTCAGAGCTCGATCATGATTACGCAGTAGATGAAATAATTCCGGGGCACGTTTAGAAGAAAATTCACAGTGTAATACAAATATAGTTCGTGATGGTTTAGGCTTTATGTAGTATTTCTTTAAGGGTAATGAAAGACTATTGTGTAAACTTGTTTTGCAATCTTGAGTCAGGTGATTTGTTCCAAAAAAATATTGACAAAGATTTGGCCAGTCGGATAAGTTGATGGCGCCACGTATATGACCAGCATCATATTCATATGGATAACGACAGTCAACTATAATTAAACGTTTACGAGCTGTTTTCATTTTATGTGAAGGGATGCTTTTCTTCCGATTGTTCAATTTACGTTTGTATCCTGGCTGTTGTGTACAGTGGTTTGTTATGTCAGTCATCATAGTACTAGCTAGTTGTTCTTCATCGGATGCCGTAAACTCTGATAATGATGACGACGATGAGGATGAAGACGAAGATGAAGAGGTGTACATTGTCTTGGAAGTTGAAACTGATGTTTTACTAATCTTCCTCTTCATGCGAATTATCATTCGGGCTAACTGATCAACTTCTAGAAATGGCCATGGTGAATGTAAAGAGTTTTCAGTTGTTGGAGAATTCAGGTAAACAGTGGAAGTTTGCTTAGGATGATCCTGTGTAAACATAGCAATAAGTAAATTAGAATATAAATTAAACGATTTTTTTTAATTTCCACAAAATTATAAAATGTAATTTATCAAACAAGCCCTGGATGCAAAACTTCGACCGGAACAAGCTGGATTCAGGAGAAACAAGTCATGTATTGATCAAATCGCTACACTACGGATCATCATTGAACAAAGCTTGGGATGGCAGTCACCTCTCTATCTCAACTTCATCAAATTTGAAAAGGCCTTCAGCTGACAGAGTCGGTCGAGAGGTGACTTGGAAACTACTTCGCTACTACGGGGTGCCGCCAATAATTACACGTCTCATCCAACAGTTATACGACAATGCTGCATGCCAAGTAATCCACAACGCGAAACTTACGGAATCCTCCGAAGTGAAGACGGGAGTAAGACAAGCTGGCTGCCTACTACTATCTCCAATGATTTTCCTGATTGCAGTAGATTGAATAATGCAACAGACAGTGGCGGGCAATGAGGTAACAGGCATAAAATGGACCCTAACGAAAAACCTGGAGGATCTGGACTTCGCCAATGATATACGTCTGATTTCCCAAAAACTGGAAGATATGCAAGTGAAAAGCAGCAACAAGTTGGCAGAAGAAGCATCCAGCGAAGATAGGACTTCAGGTGAACATAGAGAAAACAGAAGTAGACAATGAAGATTCCTGGCGAACACCAACATCAACAACAACAGACAACAGTCATATAAATGGGAGGAACCTGAAAGAAACAACCTCCTTCATACTTACTTGGGAAGCATCGTTTCAACTAGAGGCCAACGGAACTGACGAGGATGTCAAAGCAAGAATTAGAAAAGCAAGACAAGCTTTCATTACTCTTAAGTCTGTGTGGAGGTCAGCACCACTCAGCATGGAAACTAAGATCATGATTTTCAAATCCAATGTGAAGTCAGTCAGTGCGACTATACGGTCAGAGACTTGGCGCTGTGTTATGAAGAGCATCTCAAACAAACTACAGACCTCCATCCATCTTCGCTTAATACTCAAGATCAGATGGCCGGCCAGAAAAGATCAGCAACAGGGATCTCTGGCAATGAGCGAACCACCCCAGCAGGAACCGATTGTGAAACAAATAAGCAGGAAGAAATGGAGATGGATTGGCCGTACTATGAGAAAACAAACCATCTAGTGACATCACTAGACAAGCCATCACTCGAGTGGAACCCGAATGGGAAGCGGCTAGTTGGTCGTCAGTGTGAGGGTGACTTGGAGGAGGTCATGTGAAGAGGAGATGAAAGCGTGTGGGCAAACTTGGAGCGGGGTGAAAAATTAGGCAGAAAACTTAAGGCAATGGAGACGTGCAGCTGAAGCCCTATGTTCCTCTAGGAATTAAAAGATACAATAATAAATAATAATCTGAAATGTGCTTTGTATTTCAGCAACACATTTCGAACACTCCGGTCACACACATACTTGTCATACACATTTTGTATAGAAGGCAACATCATAAAGGATTACAACTTTTATCTGTGTAAATCAAAATACTTATAGGTCATGATCACAGATTACTGATAGAAAAATGAGGTGAGAAAAAAAGGAAAGGTGAAAATATTATTGAGTAAGATAAACCTCGGTTCTAAAATTGGATTATTAAGGTAGGTTCAAAGTAATGAACATATAAAACAGTTTTAAGCCTCCTTGTGGCTAAGACGTCAACGAACTTAAGTAGACGACTTAAATCTATTTTGATATATGCGGATTTAAAGGTACTATTTAAGTTATCTTTATGACCTGTTTGCGCGATGGGTTTTACGATAGGTGACATCAGATATCTGTTCCTAGACCAGTTGAGTTAGACGGGATTTATTTATTCAAGCAGCTACTTGAGAGTTTGTTCTGTAACTTTGATCTTCAGAGATCGAAGTGTTCTGCCTATGTACATTTGACCACATATACATATAAATTTCGATAAGCGCTGTGAGATGTGAAGCAATCTTCTGGATGATATGAGAGTTTACAGGACAACACAAATTTAATTTCCTCTGTGAAAATGGGATTAGCTGCACAGTAAGTTCGGTTGAGTCTTTGACCGGATTTTGACGATCACGCTCGTCAATGGCAAAGATATGTAAAAATCCTTTCGGGAGCATGGTTGATTGATAAAAAGTATTGTTTCGCGAATATAGTCATCATCTTATAACATTTTAATGGGGCTTTGTATTTCATGTTATATTATTTGGTAATAATTTAAGATCATTCACCAGAAATAATCAGTTTTCAGTTCGTGAGACTAAAGCTGACTTCGTCAAATTCTCCTAGCAACATTTAGCTCAGAGCTGAATTGTGTTAGCAATGTGTTAGTGATTCCTTTACATCAGATTAATTTCCTGTAGTTTGGTTTGTAAGGGTTAGTTATGTTTTTAATGAGTTGATCACGGATTGATATCAGTTAGAGAACCATTGAAAACCAGCCGCGAGTACTGGACAGCTGCTGTTTCATCCTATTTGGGAATCATCGTCAGGACGCACCCACTGGGATTCGAACCCAGAACCTTCCGGTTACAAGGAAAGCTCGTATACCATTCAGCCACGGGGACCTGATTCAATGGGCCATGAGTGTGAAGAAGGATTTCCTGCCGACGACACTGGTTGGTGGGTGCGTACTGCCGATGATTCCCAAACTAGGATGAAACAGCAGCTGTCCAGTACTCACTGGTTTTCAATGGTTCTCTAACTGACATCAATACGTGATCAACTTCAAAAAATTTGCCAAGACAGATGTTACATTAAGTCATTTTTGAATAAATGTATAGCTCAAAATTTCGATTGATAATTAGAACATTTTATTAGAAATCGTTTAATAAAAACATGTTTATTATTATTTTCAATGCATATTTCATCACCGACCAACACTATTCATAGATCATTGGAAACCAGACAGCGCTGGTCAGCTGTTTTGTTCTAGTTTTGAACTCTTCAACAGTGCTTATGTGCTACACAACCAGGGATGGAGCCATGGACCTACAGGTTGTAGGGAGTGCTCATTTAACTTTCAGTCTCTTAGGCCGGAATTCAGTGATATATGAATTCTAACTTTGTCGATCTACAATATGGCACAACCCAAAAGTCCCGGGTTCTATCCCTAATGATTTCGTGGGTGCGCATTGCTGAAAAGTCCCAAAGTAAACCGGAAAGGCTGTTTAGTGCTTTCTGGTCTTCACTAATCTGTCTAAATAATGTTAGTACAGGACAAAATTTGCATTCAAATTCAAAACCCATAATCGAAAAACCTTCATCTGATAGAAGATCGAAGTGTGACAGATATCGTGAAAAATTTAACTTCTCTGAATAATTTCTGTCATGTAGAATTGGTTGAGCTTTAGTGCTAATCAAAATATAACAGTTGATTTATCAAATATGTAATAGCTGTGTTTCATGAATTATTAATAAACTTTATTGTATGAAATCATGAATTATTATCTATTCATATTTCTGTGATAACATTCTAAATAAATTACAACTAGTAGGATTGAAACACATTTTTTCATTAGTCTATTTGTAGGGATCTGATCTTGTTTTAAGTTTGATGATTGATTGATATTAGTGGAGAACCATTGAAAATCTGAGAGTACTGGACAGATGCTTCATCCTAGAGCTTAGTAGTCATAATCGGTACGCATCACCAAGTTTCGAACCTAAGACCTCCTGATTACAAGGCAACCCGTAGACCATTCAGCCACAGTGATCCGACCCAGTAGTCCATAAATTCTAACTTCTACAAAACCGAGACGAAACAGCTGTCTAATACTCCTTCGTTTTCAATAGTTGTCTAACTGACATCAACCCATGACCAAACTGGAAACAAAACGGAGCACATCTGTTCTCTCTTCAGTATTCATTGTTGTTTTAATACTTCTATTCACACCTGCATAAATAGTTTGAAGTCTATGTTCCCTTCTTCAGTAGATCTTTTGAAGGCATATGTATAAAAAGAAGGACAAAGTGTGATCATTAAGACACGTGTGGATGCGATATATTAATGAATTCAATAAAATCTATTAACTGAATTACCTTTTTAGTGGTAGTGAATTAGAAATTGATGTTAAGGGATTGGAGGCTGTAAACGAGAAAAACTAGGGCTAAGTTTCGCACTTATTGCACTCATCAACAATTCATAAGTAAACCTTGATGGAGCTGATTTCTTGTTGTGGATCCAAACCTGTGACATTCAATGCCACATTAGTAATAAATACCTTTCAGTGGTAAGTAAAATGAATTACTGATTGAGAGATAAGCCAGTAGATCTCTCAAATTCAGTGTCAATTAGACTGTTAGTTGCAATCTAATTCTCAGACTGTTTCATTTTTGAGAGTCTTGATTAGGAAACAAAAGTCCCGTGTGACATTTACCAAATTACATCATCTCTGGAGTAGACGTGATGTCCGACTATCTATTAAAAAGGTGTAAGTGTGCAGTAGTTCGCCCGATTATTCTTTATAGCTACAAGATAAGCTCTTTGAAACTGGACGACCTGAAGAGACTAGCTGCCTCAAACAACAGATGTTTTCATTCTGTCTTCCTTCGTAAATGGTATAATATGGCGGGTAATATTGATCCAGGTGTATAGTATTAGGTAAGGAAAGTAAGTCAGTCGACGAGGTTAGGAATCCATGTCGATTGAGATGGTAAGAAAAAGCGATCACCTTCCTAGTCAAGAACTGCTAGCTGATATAGGACTAGTTGAAATAGGGTTAAAAGTTGTCAAATCAAAATCCGGGAACAATCTATGGAACTCTATCTGTTGGTTTAGGCCACGATGTGAGGTATAAACTTCTAGTTGGGGTCCTCGAGACGCTAAGAATCAATAGCTGCAGATTGTTGGAGATATGGTTCATAATAGTTCTAATGGTGCAAATGCATTCACCCATTCAATCTCTCATATCCAAAAAGTTCTGATATTCCTCCATGTAATTATTCTGTATCTCATGCATTTCTGTTCATTATAGTTCTTTGGAGTTTTCTCCTACCACTGTGCTCTATGTAGATTGACATTTTGGACTACTATACTTTTGTGTACAGTTCTACATTGAAACTATGTCAATCATTTGCCACTAGGTTTTACAGCCGCACTTGAACACTAAAAGAGTTGAAACAATAGGTCACTAGTGCTGTAAAGCACAATGAGAGACAGAAAGCAAGTCTACTTAAATAAAATATCAAAAATTAAAAATATCCATGAAACTACTTTTGTATTTCCTTATAAGTTGGTTGTCAGGCGATCTTTCAAATAGACTAAATGTATGAATGAAAGAGATTAGCTTGAAATTTGCCAAACTATGTAAATTTTGGCAGTGGTTATCGATTAACGGATGTCTCTACTATGCAGACCGACGCCTCATCTCATTTCACACCTTACAAACAACAGGGGAAATGAAATTTCAAAAGCGTGCAGGTTTTCAAGATGAAAGAAAAGAACATGGACAAACGGATTCAGATAAAATATTCAGTAACCATATAAAATGATGACTCATTCTGGGCCTACAGAATGTCAAAAACTCTAGCCCCAAAACAGGAAAGTAATTTCTACACTATAGTTCTCAGCAACACAAACAAAGAAACAGACAAATATTAGAAAAAATGAGAAGACATTTGAGGGAAGAATAGCTAAATGTTGCTTAATCGAGTGCTGAGAATTGTGGAAATCATGACTAGTTCCACTGCAGCTACATAAACAGATCTTTTAAACAAGAAGCCGAGTGAATATTGTAATCTCCAGGTTATACAGCACAAACCATAATACTAAACATTGTAGAAAAAAGTGTGGCTACTCATAAGTAGTTAAATTTAAAATGTAAACGTTTTTATGATTAATTTTGAACTTACTGAATAATTCTGATTTATTTTATGTTGATTTCCTGGTGAACACTTATGATTATTGGTAAATTTTGAGGAATTTTGTGATTCTTCCGGTCTTGAGAGGGGGGCAGGATTCTCCTTCTCATCAGGAGTAATATAATGAGTGGGTGATTCTGATGTGTAGTCTGTATATGAACAAAATGAATGATTTTAGAACAGTTTCAGAACCAATAATTACTGAATCTATACAAAATATTTCTGAGACCATGTGGACATCTTATTATGCCAAAATTATCTGTCAGAAATGATCAAAAGTTACTCTAGCTGTTTCTTGCATTCACGTTTGGATTGTTTCTGGTGTGCTAAATAGGAATGATTACTTTATGTAACGGTGATAATATTTTTTCAGGTAACTGAAACATTACTGTTATTATAATTCCCTTGGGTTCGGAGTGGAACACAGGGCTTCAGAAACACATCTTCGCTTTGTTCTATTTTCTGCTGTCCTCTTCATTTGGGTCCACGACTGCCCATAATCTCTCATCTACTCCTCTAGCTCACACGATCTCCTCCAAGTCACCCTAGGACGACGCACTCGTCGCTTCCCATTCACATTCCACTTGACTGATGAACTGCACTGAGCACCATATCATTCGATGGCTTCCTCAAGGTATGCCTTATCAGTCCATCTTCATTTTCTTCAGCATATCTGTTGAGCAATCGGCTCTTGGTTGGTTCGTTCCACTGAGCAGCTTGTTGTCGTTAATTCTTTCTGGTCAGCTGGCCATTTGAAATGCACTATGGAAACAGAGAAGGTGGCAGCTGTTGATGAAAGTCTGTAACTTGTGACACACAGTTCAAGTTTCTGACCCATTTGGAAGAAGCGCCTGACTTCACATTTGTTTGAAACAATCCGAATCTTGTTCTTTTGTGTTGCTGAGTGCAGTGCAGAAGATTTTCAAAATGGTTTCAGGTTGATGAAGGTGCATCTTGCCTCTTCGATTCTGGCTGGCTTTAACACCTTTATCCATTCCTCTGGCTGTGGTTGAAATCCTTCTTCCTGGTCAGATAAGTGAAAGAGCCTAACCTCTGTCAAATCTCTCCCATTGATTGTGATTGGTGCTGGTTGTCGGTGCTTAGTTTACTAGCTCTCTGGCTTTACAGCCGGTCCCAAGGTCGGGTAAAGAGGGAGAGTTGGGCGTGGGACTAGCGACTCTACCCCCAACAAACCAATCAAACCGCTACAGAAACTTCAACGCATAATAAAAGTATTAAACTGGAACATAAGGAGACGCTAATAGTTAAACTGTGAAACTGCATTCTCAGGGACGAAGTGGGTCTATTCCGATCATTCTAAATAACTGACAACATAGGAAAAAATGATTTGAATTGTAGGAGTCTTGCAGAAAGTCATTAACTGATGGTTGAACCGCTTGGCAGTGTACAACACAAATAGATGCCATCCCTTGGTTATTGAGAGTTGGAAATTCCAAGCTATGCGATCACCAGTACTTAATATCTAATCACTCTAAATAAATTCACCTTCAACCTACTCTGTGCTACACTTGAAGGCACAGTGTTATTTCTTTAGGAGATCAAGGCTTTTAAATTGTCCTTTTTTTCATATTAAACCATTGCAAAGCCAAGTGCTCCTTTTGGAGTCCTGAATAACATTTAGTGTCTTTAGGGTAGCTCATAATGTTAATTATATAAAAACACATTCTCCTGTCGTCTGTTGATTTAGTATTTACATACAAAGGAATATATGTAGTGAGATGACTATTCATCCAACTCTCAGTCTTATTTACTGCATTTATTTAGATAGATTTATCTAACACTGGTGTCGATCCTCCTCGAATGCACACGTAACTGAACTAGGTAACTGAAGTTCTAAATGAATGTGTATCATAACTGATGTGAAACAAGTGACGAGCTATCCGATTGTCAATGCATCTGTAACGGAATACGTGTTTGGAAAAACCCTCCGCAACGACCTAATTACAACATTTGTACTTATTAGATAGTTGGAGGCGATCGGCCACAGGAAGCCTCTCGCCTAGGTTTCGTGCTAGTTGGCATTCCTCAGCAAGGCGTATCTGCAACCTTGAAGGAACTCATGTCCCTTCTGAGATTCGAACCCGCTTCACCCAGAATAGTGGCCACATTACAAACCTGACTGATAGAATTCAGTCTACACCAAAAAAAGGCCTAGACAAGTCGCATTAGTTACTAGTGTCCAATCAAACTAACATGTGTACTTATTTAGATGTTCCAACTAACTTTGTGCTTACTTTCCGATTTTCTCCCAGACTTTACATTATTGCCTTAACGTTTGTATATCATCTGTCGACTTAATACTTATTATTTGTCTTTATTCCTGTTCAGTTTCTAATTTCAATGCTTCTCTTTGTGGTTGGTGATGCGTTGTTTTACGACTACGATTTTGTTTGAGTGAATTACTGCCACTATGACCTTGGATTGCGTGTAAGAATTGTTGGTGTTTGGTTCTTGTGGATAAAGTTTTAATCTCACCTTGTTGAGAATATTCTTCTTGATTCTCAAGCACCTCTTACAGTTGGTTTCGGTTGAATAATTCTGCTGCATAGTACTTGTTTCGTACTCAAGAATCTATTTGACCTGTAAAACTGCCTAATGGCATTGTTGAGGTAATTTTGGTGCATTGTTTTATTATGATTCTTGACTAGTACCGCAGATTTTATTGTTGTCTTTTTGGCATATCGTGACTGTGAGTAACTCACTCAAGGATGTTCAGATCAGCTATACAGTAGAATTCAAAAACCGCTTTCTTGAGTTTTGACTAAAAGACATCGGTTATGGTCGGTACATTGTCGACTGAATTATTAGATCCATTCTGAAACTACAATTTATTGTTAATGAAGTCAATGAGTTTAATTTCAATACGTATATATACTGTCTGTTCAATGCGCCTTCTGTTTTCCAGAGGTATCTAATCTGTGCATCAGTTGAAAGGAGTTTATTATGACAAAAAGGAAAAGTTGGTTGTGTTACTCACTCAGTAGAGTATTACACTGATAACCTTGCCACATTGTTCGATTATACAGCCGTTATTTAATTGTGTGTATGTGGCTTTCTTTAATGGTCTGATCAATAACTTTTGTTATTACAGTGCAGGAAACACCATTTTGGGCATTACTTTTAAAAAAAAGCTATACAAAAACAAACTTACTGGGATTTCTCCCTGACACACCTGAGCTATTCTGTGAAGATGGTTGTATGTTTGATGGTTCAAATGTCTAATTTTTGAAGAAGAAAAACAGATAAAGTCAATGAGATACAAAAAAAGAAATAGATGTTAGTCAAATAGAAAACACGACAGCTCGAATGTTATTTGTACTTGAGAAAATTATAGAATAAGTGCAGTATAGACTCATATTCTTTGTCATATAGTAGTTGTGATTTGCTATCAGGTATGTAATACGATTCATTTATAATAATTATTTTAAGATTCTTTTACATTATTAGATAGTTGGAGGCAATTGGCCACAGGTTTCGTGCTAGTTGGCACTCATCAGCAAGGCATATCTACAACCTACATTATTTCTTAATGTACTCAGAGTTTCATTGACTTAAGACGAGAATTTGGATACTGTGACAGAGTATCAGAAAAATTTACTCTATAATAGAATTGTGCTTAAAGTTTTTCTGAACAATAGAGAAATTCTTAAGCCAATGAAGTGATCAGCATTATTCATAAAGTAAGTAAACTATATTTGCGAATCTATTTGTGCTGAACTAGTTGACTTTACACTGAAGTTTGCACTAAATATCTTGTCCTGAAAGACAATTCAAAACTTAGTAGTTAAATGGCCATTCAGTTCAAAGACGCAAAACTAAACTAAATTCATCCACCTGAACTATATGCTTTCTTCATTATTTCCAAGTCTTCTGAATAATCAACGGCTCTGTCTTATGTTGGGGCAGCGGGGGGGGCATAACTAAGACTCTGTAGGTGTATGAAGCAATTCCAACGGATCAACCAATCAGTGTAACGAAGTTTATGACATCTCAAGTCAACCACAGATGGTTCAGCTTTCAGATAGACACTTGTAAAACCAAACAACGAACTTAACTGATATTATTAAAACAATTAGACCATTTGATAAATTTGAATTAGACATTAAGAAGACAAATTTCGCGAGATGATATCTTCATTTCGTAGTTTCTTTACAACCGCTTTACAACTAACATGGTTAACAATAATACAAATAAAGATCATGACAATTACCTAGTTAAATAAAAAACAAAAGTACATACTAATGACCAATCAGATTTAGATAGGTCATGTAGTCCATCATAGTAGGCGAAGGTTGAATTCTATTGATTTTTGTACACACAGTTTAGGCTGTATGTGATTAATCCTCTTAAGTGCTTCCATCACCTTGAATCTTAATGTGTATAGAAAATATTAGATTCACCTTCCAAGGAAAGGCATACAAACAAGTCGATGGTGTTGCGATGGGTAGCCCTCTGGGGCCATTGTAAGTAGATATATTCATGTCGAAATTAGAGAAACAAATGCAAGGTATGCTTGGAGAATTTATGCTGTATAAACGTTATGTAGATGATACTCTCATTATTGGTAATAATAGTAAATCTATTGAAAACTTTATTACCCTATTTAATCATATGCATACAAATATTCGAGTGACTTCCGAACTAGAATCGAATAACAAACTCGGTTTCCTGGATATTACTATGACTAGGAGAGACGATGGTACGATTCAGCGATCTATTTTTCGTAAACGGACAGGGTATGGACAATATCTTCATTTTACCAGTTTTGTTACTATCCAGTATAAACGTTCCCTGGTGAAATGTTTGTTCTCAAGGGCCCGAGAAATATGCATGAGTGACACTTTGATGGATGAGTTTTGACATATAAATTCAGTTTTATTAGCTAATGGTTATTCGGAGAACTTTATCACTTGTCACAATAAAGAAAAACCACATCTTGAAAAGACAGCTTCTGTACCAAAGAAAGCCATTTTTATTAATCTACCATTCAATGGTGACCAGATTATGCAGTTGACAACTCAAAGACTTCGGTCAGTCATCAAACGTACATTCTAAGCCGAATCTCTTTCCCTCATATGCCGAACATTTTCGATCCCTGTACCTATGATTAAAGGACGAAATTCTGTGGACTCTAATTCTAACTGTATCTACAAGTTCACCTGCAGCTTCGGTGACACCTATATAGGCAGAACTAACAGAATGTTCCAATGTCGTCGAAAAGAACATGTTCCAAAATGGCTATTAAATCATATCGAAAATCCCAACGCGATTAATCTGAATAGAAATCCAGCATCATCCATTGCAAAACACTTAATAATGTCTGGTCACAAAATCAATATTAATGACTGTTTCACAATTATTTCATCACATAACTCTAATTCAAGGTTATTGAAGGTGATGGAAGCACTTAAGAGGATTAATCACATACAGCCTAAACTGTGTGTACAAAAATCAATAGAATTCAACCTTCGCCTACTATGATGGACTACATGACCTATCTAAATATGATTGGTCATTAGTATGTACTTTTGTTTTTTATTTAACTAGGTAATTGTCATGATCTTTATTTTATTATTGTTAACCATGTTAGTTGTAAAGCGGTTGTAAAGAAACTACGAAATGAAGATATCATCTCACGAAATTTGTCTTTTTAATTCCTTATTCAAAATATCCTTAATCATTAGAAGTAAAACTCTGCCTACGAACCTACAACATAATGTAAATGACATAAACTATGATGGTGACTACTTTTAGTCTAATCACTATGTAAACGACTCTTGTGATATGATCAGACCTGCAGGAACATTCATTCCACTCAGTGTAGCTCATGGGGTCGTTGAGATATGCAATACTAACAGGCATTTCGAGGTAGCAGCTGTCCACTGGAGATACAAAATCTTAATTCAAGTGAAATTGCTTTTGCTTCTAATCGACTTAAACACTAACTTCTCAAAATTGCCAGAAAAAACGTTATACTATTATGTTTTTCAAACTGTAGAAATGAAATTCATTCATGATTTTCAGAAGCCTTATTTTTAAAGAATCTTTTCTTATGGCAGTGCCAAAAGAACTAGACAAATAACATTGGTTACAGCAAATTGACCAATTAATGTACTCATTGTAGTCCTATATGTGGTTCGTCATATGCTAGATAATCTCCAGAGTTTACAGATACATATAACCTACGATTGTGTATAGGCGAAAAGCTTAGGTCCAGGGATTCTTACTGATAGTCACCAACTGCACAGCACCAATGTCAACCATACGAGTAGCGTTTTGCCTTCAATCACTCATAAATTTCCATCAGTTAGTTTTACACAGTGACAAAATCTCTCACAAAATCAACAGCATCACCAATAAGGACATGTTTTACCGCAAAATGTACTATAGACAGTTGTCAGGTTATCTATATGTATAGGCAGAAAATTGATGTGGATCGGGTATACGTTGAGGATGCCATCGAATGAAATCGCGGACAATGTAGGCCATTGCTTGAGTGAAGTCTCAATAGGAAGCGACGAGTGGGGCGTTGTTACAAGAGTGATATGGAGGAGATCGTGCGAAAAGGCGATAAAAGATTATGGACAATCATGGACCCAGATGAATATAATATATATATATATATATATATATATATAAACTTATTTGAAAACTGAAATAGATTATTATCACATCAAAATCAAATATATTCCCTTACTTTCACTAAGCGTTTACTTTTTACAGTAAGCGGTGTACAGAATCCTTTATCCGCATCCATGTGATAATAACAGTTAATATATTTTTTAATCAACTTTGTCTTTAGAAGCAGATTTTACTTTCAAATACTGGTCTAATATATAGATCCAAAGTGTGAACAGGTATAATGGAGACGAAACTATTTTTATGATAATGGTTAATAATTATACTCTAGAAATATTTTTTAACGAATTTATTCATCATTCACCATTATTAGACAAAATCATTCATGTGACGATAAAAATAATAATAATAATAATCGTGACTTATTTTTGAAAAGATAATCGATATATTTCATTGATTTCTAAGGGTATTCTTCAGAATCTGAATGAAAAGTGTTATTGGTGAGATTATCTCGGATAATTTCAGGATTTCATCATGAGCTGACATTGGTTAGAGAACCATTGGAAAACCTGGGAGTACTGGACAGCTGTCTCGTCCTAGTTTGGGACTCTTCATCAGTAAGCACCCACCGCCACTGTTCGAACTCAGGACCTTCTGGTTACAAGGCGAGCTCGTATACCATTAAGCCACTGAGACCCGATCCAATGGTCCTTGAATTCTAACTTCTGCCAATTCACGACATAGCGCGACCGATAGCCAATGTCTTCGGCGAGTATTTGTCCTCACACCCAACCAGCTGCACCCTACTGGTCACGACTTCCCACTGGAACCCAGGTAACTACCTACCTGAATAGAGCCAGTCACCAGTGAGCATCTCATTGGTATTCCCGGTGGGCGCGTACTGCTGAATTGTCCCAAACTAGGACGAAACAGCTGTCCAGTACTCCCAGCTGGTTTTCCAATGGTTCTCTCTCTCTAATGTCAGCTCACGATGAACTCCTGAAACCAATCAAATTCCTACAAACCAACACTTGAATATCTCGGATAATGCTGGATCCACAAGTGGGTATTCATGTCATTTATGAGTATACCTCCTTGTACACAACTTAGTGAACCCTACTGGTGAAAGGATTGACATTAGAATTCCAGGAAGTCTGTTGTACATTCAGCCTAATCTCTACAAACCAAATCTTGAAGGCAACTTGAACAGCCTTTCAAGATGCCTTCGTACATTCTTTTTCTTGCTTTCATCGAAAGAAGACACATTGGCTGACTGGCTTCCCAAAGGCCCTCCCCAGCCCGTATCATTCTGTCTCTCCAATTCCAGATAAGAATGAAATTACATCTTATATTTTCTTGTGCGTTGAATTTTCTGTAGCGATTCATTTGGTTTTCTGGGTTAGAGTCACTAGCGCTAATCCCAAACTTCTACCCAGCAATTGCTAGAAAGCTAGAAAACTAGAGGAGTTTAGAACATCACGGAAGACAAATGAATTCACAGATCTATAAGTCCCGTGCACTGAACGACCTGGTCAATGCGAGCAGATGTGCTAATATATGCATACTGAAATGGTCTTAAGAGGGAGTCGGTCTTTCACATTGCTTAAAATCAGTTTGTAGCTAGACAATATCATCTTAAGGGTTGCTTCAAAAAACATCCCTAAAAAGTGAAAAACTCTCTCCTCGATGGTCTCATGCTTTTTATGAAATGACTGCCACAAATTTTCCAAAAATGCATACATGAAAACACTTTGTATAATTTCAGTATTGTGTTAGTATTAAATCTAATACGCAATTTCCTAATTAATTAGATGAACTAGGAATTCACTCAGTCCCTGAAAAGGACATTTCCTCATGCATCTTTGAGAATAGCATTTTTTCAGTCAACGATTACTGTTCAATAACCTAAACGACAAGATCCCGCAGTTCACCAACTCTTTTTGCATTTATCAATCCACCTGCTCATGTGGAGCTAGGTTTATCAGCCGTTTGACTCGAGCTTTGTTCAAGGGAATGTAAGAACATCATCCTGCATGGTTAAAAAGAAGTGGAAGTGGAGTTATAAGAAACGTGATCATTGAACATTTTGTCGATCCTTGTGAACCTATCTCTACAGCCTGTTTCTATTAAGGCTATCTACAAGGCGTAAAATAACTTCCGTAAATCATCACGTTCCCAGCTGATCTGTACTACTACTACTACTACTATTAATAATAATAACAGCTTTATTCCAAACAGTATTTGTGGTACAGGTATGGAATTTTCAGCGTGCATTACAATATATTGCATCTAATTACCTCATAAATTTTATAAGATTTTAAAATCAAAAAAAAGAATAAATTAATTAATTAAAAAAGCGTAGCGTTTACATTTCAAACAATGCACCACAGGATATGAAATATAAAGTTGATGTGTGATAGAAGATGAGAACAACAGTGTAATAGTAACGAGGAAAGGAAAACAAAAAATCTAATGGGACTATTTGTTAGAGTGACGCAGTAAGTTGATTGTGTCATACCTAACGGATTTCTCATCACATAACAGCTGTGCCAGATATGGTATTGTGGAGTTTTTGTACTTGGTAGTCCTAGCATATAGCCTCCTATAGCTGCTTCTTGTTCTACCAGATGAAATGCAAGGAGACGGCTGCGTATAGAGAGGATGCTCGGGGTCCGACAATATTGTATTCGCTAGTTTCCTACATGACATTATATGTCTATCCACAATAGTGTTAACCAGTTGGTTTAACGATATCCCATTTGCCCTACTAACGGCTTTTAGTGCCCTTCTCAGCGAAGCAAAGTCTTTCTTAAGTAGTCCAGGAAAGATTAATGGGGAGCAGTAAAGGGGGATGGGTAGAATACAAGAATTTACAAACTGAGAAAGCAAAGACTGCTTTATGCCAGACTGCCTAAATTTCCTAATGTAGAACGTTAAGCGAAACATCTTTCTAGTAACTAGCAAGATGTGGGAGGACCAGGAAAGATCGGTGGAAAAACTCAGCCCAAGGTACTTGACATTAGATGTATTTTCAACCTCTGTGCCGTCAATGATAGTGGGGCCATGTGAGCTAACTAGTTGCTGTAAGTGAAATTGACTACCTGACATTTAGACGGATTAAGCTTAAGACCGTTTGAAGAGGACCACTGACTAATTTCCGACAGAAAGTTATTTAATTTGGAACAATCTGACTGAGAGTTGACAGGCATAGAAACAGAGAGGTCATCGGCGTACTTAACAAAAGTGGCTACATCAGAATGAGGCAAGTCATGTAAGAAAAACGAAAACAGAAAAGGAGAAAGAACAGCACCTTGAGGAACACCAGCTAAAGTAAGTGAGGTAGTGGAGGACTTTCCATTGTAGACGGTGTACTGCTTCCTATCAGAAAAATAGGAATGCAACCACTTATTTGTCCAGCTCTCAGCCTGAGTTGCAGCAAGTTTACTTAGCAAGAGAGACCTGGGAACAGAGTGAAATGCAGATGTGTAATCAAGGAAGGCACAGCGAACGTATTTAGCTCCTTTATCTAAACTAGAGACTATACTATGATGTAGGACAACAGCGGCATCTAACGTACACCTACTATGTTTATAAGCAAACTGGTTGGGGTCGCTGAAAGGTTTTAAAGAAGGTTCAAGATTAAGTAAAATAAGTCTTTTCATAACTTTCAAAAAGGGTGAAGTAATAGGAATGCGTCTAAACTTAACATTAGGTCCAATTGTTGATTTGGGCACTGGAACGATCTTGAAATTTTTCCATGATTCAGGTTTAATACTTTTGGAAAACGATTCGTTGAAAATGTCAGTGAATGGGGAACACAAAATGTCGTCACACTTCTTGAGGATAACAGCAGGAACACCATCAGGTCCAAGGGACTGAGTAGGCTTGAGAGATTGAAGACACTTGAGGACATCATTCGTGTTAAAGCATGAGAAGCAGTCATTATTTACACTATTTGAGTAGGGTACAGCAGGTTGAAGATGAGGCAGTAACTCATCGAAGAAGACATTGCGAAGTCGTCGCGCTATGTCGTGAACTGGCAGAAGTTAGAATTCAAGGACCATTGGATCGGGTCCCAGTGGCTCAATGGTCTACGAGCTCGCCTTGTAACCAGAAGGTCCTGGGTTCGAATCCCGGTGGGTGCGTACTGCTGAGGAGTCCCAAACTAGGACGAAACAGCTGTCCAGTACTCCCAGGTTTTCCAGTGGTTCTCTAACTGATGTCAGCTCATGATCAAATCCTCCATGCAATCAAACAAAATCCCTACAACAAACCAATACTTAAAAAAATCATAACATTTGCCGGGATACATATAGAGGATTCATTAAGTATGTCAACGTCTACAGAAATATCATTCATCATTTGCTTACCACCTGTGATTTCCTTTAATAACTTCCACATATTTGATGGGGATTTACATGAAAGAAACTTCTAGTTATAGAGAGCATTCAACCTTTGTAATTCAAGCTTAATCAAAGTGTTCATTCTCTTAACACCAGATTTGTTTTTCATTTCGAACAACCTTTCTTTTTCACGGCGGAGATTTTTGAGTTGAGAAGAGGAAAAGCGATCGAATTTTAAGAAGATTGCCTCTTTTGAACAACAAACATCAAGACAGAAATTAAGATAATGTGTTATGTTGGTAATTGTGTTATCGAGAGCTTGTTCAGTAAATAAATCCCAATTAGTGTCTTTTAACATTGACCTTAGGTTCAGTATGTTGTCATGGGAATAACATCTGTGTTGTGTTTTCTTTCCAAGGTGTGAGAAGACCCTTTTGTTCTGCTTTCCATATACTTTGGGCAATATTCTTATGATACAGTGATCTGAAGCTTTGGTCACCGAAATAGAGAAGCCAGAACTCTGTATACAGAAAAAGTTCGTTCAACCTCTCCAACTTTCATGGTCTTAACCCCTCTATGCTGAAGTATGATAATCCCCACTCATATGTTGACCCTACTGATTTTTCGCTTTGTTTATCCAATTTGTATACTCTTCCTTTATTACGTCACTTTCTACTGTTACTATTCTTACTGTGAACTGGCCCCAGTGTTATTTCACCCATCCTTTTTGTCATTCTAAATGAATTTTGTTTTGCAAAGACTTTTAATCGAAAACCGAAAAACTGGTCGAGGAAGCAGACAGTGAAGACAAGACTCCAGGTGAACATAGACAAGACGCGGAGGTTATGAAAATAACCAAGTCAACTAACAACAACAGCAGCAGAAATATCCAGCGCCAATCACCATCAACGGGAGGGATTTGAAAGAGGTTACTTCATTCGCTCACTTATCTAGGGAGCATTGTCTCAACTACAAGCAGTAGGAACGGATGACGATGTCAAATCGAGAATCGGGAAGGCAGGTGGGAAATACATTCATCAACCTGAAACCAATCTGGAAATCTTCCTCACTCAGCATCAACAACAAGATTCGGTTGGATTTTCAATGCAAATGTCAAGTCAGTCAGTTCTTCTATACGGATGAGAAACTTGGCTGGCGGGTCACAAAGAATATTTCCAAAAGGTTGCAGACCTTTACCAACAACTC